TGAGTGCAATGGAACAGCCAGGCATAAAAATGTTTAGCGTGCTGGATGAAAAACACTTGACAAGATGCCCAAACTAGAGAAAAATGCAACAATTGCACTAGTTATGGTTGTCAAAAGAGTAGCATAACACAGGAGTTCCCGTTTTCGGATGAACCAAGGCGAAGAGGGGTGTAAACAGATGGACCCTAGCAATCTGAGTGGTGTATCGATGTGAGATCCTACATCAGTTGGAGAGGAGAACAAACATTCCTTATAAAGGTGTGGAGACCTCGCTCTAGCAGACCGAGGGAAAGCCCAGAAAGGAAAGTTCAAAGAGAACAATATCTGCTACCAGTTGGCTTGGGCTCTTACAAATGGTATTAGAGTCGGACACTGAGCAGTGTGCCAATGAGAACATTGGCCCCTATGAGGGTGGATTGTGAGATCTCACATCGATTGTAGAGGAGAACAAAACATTTCTTGTAAGGGTTTGGAAACCTATTTTAAAACCTTGAAGGGAAGCCCAATAGAGAAAGCCCAACGAGGACAATATGCAGCTTGGGCTGTTACATGCGAACTTGCCCTAAAGATTCCACCAACAATCTTGAAGTCATTACCTTGATAGCAACTATGCGAACCAACTATTTAGCCTTTATGATCCCAATTCAATCAAATGCAACGGAAAATGCCGCATTCCTATTTATCACGGTATATTTTTGTAGCATTGATAATGACAATGCCATCAAGCACTAGAACACAGAGATCATAGACATTAATCCAATCAAACCCACCGGTACATCTCTTGAAGGTTGCTTGTTTTCCTCAACAATGGAGGCCACCATATCAAAAACCAGTAAACAACAGCTGCAGCTCCCTTTGCACCGAAAGGGAAAAGGGGTAACAAAATTGAAGAACTCCCCCAACAAATCCAACCACAATAAAAAGAACAATAAGCAAACTACTAATCACAGAAGTTATCCATGCCAAGAAAGATGTTCTCCTCGTTCCACTCATATGAATACCATCAGTAACAAGAAGCACAACAACAGTAACTGGATCAAGAAGATTAAACACATCTGGAAAGAAACTCACCTTAATCCGAAGAAAATCGGAGATATCAGTGTTGAGCATACTCGCCAAATAGGAAGATCAAGAGTGATCGAGCTCAGCTGCACCAAGCATCACCTCCAATAAGATTTTCCCGGCAGCGATGAACGCAACGAAATCCCCCAATTCGATGCGATGAAAAGTAAAATAAACTTAAATATGTTAGAACTAAAACAAATATTTTAAAGCTAAAATAAAACCGATAGGATTTTTCGTTTATTTTTAAAATATATTTAATATTTTCTAAATATTTGAAAATTATCACTGGAATTAAAAAAAATTAAAATTTTAGACAAAAATTGATCTGAATTAATTAATTCAGCCTGAAGGGTGGAAAGTAGGAAGGCTGGATAATACGTGTTGTTCAAGTAGGAAAAAAAGGGCATTCGGCCCAATTTCTCCGTCCAAATCTGCTATAAAAAGGGTTAACAGCCACATTGAATCGCTGAATCTCGTCGCGCCGCCGCCACTTCTACAACTCACCTCTCCGTCGCTCCGTCGGTGGTATGATAGCTATTTTTTCTTTGTTTCTTTTCGTTGGTACTCCTTTGTTCGATAGAATTTTTCATGTTTGTAATCTTCTGAACCCGAAAACTAGTCATTGCGGTGTTAGCGTTGCATTTTGAAATCGGAGATTAGTTTTTGTCTGGAGTATGGATCTGGAGAATTTTAGGGTAACCTATCCTGTGAGCATTGTGGTTAATAATGATAGTAGTTGAAAAATGAATGAAATGATTTTTGTTCTTTAAGTGAAAAAGAAAATGTGCAAAATGTGATTTGGTATGGTAGCATTTTCTTGGCCTCTGTTTCGTAGATTGAAGGGAGGACCATGAAGAATGAAATTGGCTGATCTTGTGCAACCCATGACTGCCCGGATTTGTACTGCTGGTGGTCAATATTCGCCTGGACATGATGTTTGCCTTACTCATCTGAGTCTCTTCCCAGCATACCAATAAATATGAAAGTTTATGTTTTTGTATTGATGGATTTTTGCACTAGTTATTGGCACCGTTGTTTTTGTATTGAGTTTGTTTATGTATGCCCCCTTGAGTTTAACCGGGGGATTTGAATTATGATGCACTAAAGAGTTAACAAAAAAAACTTCGGGTTCAGTCGGATTGGATCAGGGCATCATATTATTAAGATATTAAAGGTTGGGTTGTGTCATAAACTAGTTTCAGAAATTATTATACGGTTGCTTCTGTGTCATATAATTAAGGACGAGTGGAAGGTGATGATTGAAGCAGGTACTTATGATAATCAAGCATATCTTATTGTTCTCCTGGTGCGGCTACGTGTAGTTGTGCCGAGCTTCAAGGATATGTCTGTATGATTTGCAAGACTGCTCTCTGATTCATGGATTAGTGGCCAAGAAAATGTTCTGCCTTTGTCCATACAAGGTCGACTGGTCAATTTACATCTGGACTTAAATCTCACAAGCTGAATTTTGTGTCACCTGTTATCTTAGTTATGAGGCTAAACTGGATGCAGCTTTTTTTGAGGCCACAAGGAAAGGGAAAATAGGAATATGGATGTTTAGGGTTTTTGGGAGAAATTTCAATTTGTCATTTAGTTTTGGGTATTTTCCATTGTACTTCTTCTTGATATTGTTTTATTTTCTTACAACTACGCAGGTCAAGTTCAAGCACACACAATGGGGAGAAGACCTGCTAGATGTTACCGACAGATTAAAAACAAGCCGTACCCTAAGTCACGATTTTGCCGTGGTGTACCTGATCCTAAGATCAGGATCTATGACGTGGGAATGAAAAGGAAAGGAGTAGATGAATTTCCATTCTGTGTCCACCTCGTGAGTTGGGAGAAAGAAAATGTGTCAAGTGAAGCTTTAGAAGCAGCTAGGATTGCCTGCAATAAGTATATGACCAAGTTTGCTGGGAAGGATGCATTCCATTTGAGGGTCAGGGTGCACCCCTTCCATGTTCTGCGGATTAACAAGATGCTTTCATGTGCTGGGGCTGATAGGCTCCAAACTGGCATGAGAGGTGCCTTTGGGAAACCACAGGGAACCTGTGCCAGAGTGGCCATTGGTCAGGTTCTCCTTTCAGTTCGCTGCAAGGACAACAACGGTCAGAACGCACAGGAGGCCCTCCGCCGTGCTAAGTTCAAGTTCCCTGGTCGTCAAAAGATCATTGTTAGCAGGAAGTGGGGATTCACTAAATTCAGCCGAGCTGATTACCTAAAGTTAAAGGCAGAGAACAAGATTCTTCCAGATGGTGTGAACGCAAAGCTTCTTGGATGCCATGGGCCTCTAGCCAACCGTCAGCCAGGAAGAGCTTTTCTGTCTCAAGCTGCTTAGACTGAGTTAGTTTAATTTATTTGGGATAATTTTTGACATTATTAGCATTGGTTGTTTGAATTTTTGTGAAACAAACTGAGCTTCCTTTTTCGATTCTGTTTATCTTCTATCCTAATAGTTGAGTCTTTTTTTGGAACATCTCCATTGATTAGACATTGATCACAGTTCTTGATTGCTTCTCATCATTTTCATTGTCATGATACAACTGTTTGTTACTGGAATGAAGAGGTGGATAGTGACGAGACTCTAACACATCATGTACAAGACAAAACCACCATGGAATAATCCTTCCCTTCTTTTCTATAAAGAAAGAGAACTTTTAAAGTGGATTCCCTCTTCACCAAAAGCTTATAACTATCCTCTTTATTTCTTGAAGAGCACAAATATTATAAGAATTGCCTTATATACATTCCCTTCATATTCTTGGCTTTGGTGGCTTCAAACATCAAACCAAGAACCAAACTTGGAAGAGTCCCAATGTTTGATATCAAACCCTCCATCACAATTCTCATAATTTGCGCTTCTTTACTCGCCGCCGTTGTGATTTTATGTTGTTTATGTATAATCAGAGGCCGTAAAAGTAAAGACTCAACACGGCCTACTCCAAGTGGATCTATTAGTTCAAGGCGGCCGCCGCCGCCATGGCCCCGACAATCCTACTATGATGTTGAGCCCGGACAGGGCATTCGAGCATACAGACAGGACACTCTAAGAAGCGAACAAAGCGTTCCATCAGACAGACATGGCGCTCAAAGAAGCGAACAGTACAGTTTTCGAACAGACAGATCACGAAGTAGTCAAAGCAGCGAACCAAGCGTTGGAAGAGACAAACGAAGTGGATTCAAGGACGGCGGGATGGCCATCTTGGCTGGGGCTGGGGCTGCTATGGCTGCTGCAGCTGCGGCCCTTGGTTTAAGTAGTGGAGGAGGAGAAGAATATGGTGGCAATGGTGATGGTTATTGGGGAGATAGTAGTCGTACCGACGGCTATGGCGATAGTTGTGGCAATGGCAATCGGGACGGTGGAAGTGGCGGTGGTGGCGTTTGTGGCGCTGGCTGTGGAAGTGTCGGTGGTAGCGCTTGTGGCAGGTGGCAATAACTACTCTCAACACTAAAGATTAACATAAAAGTATGTTAAATTATAAATTTTTATCTCCATGATCTGTCAAGTTAAATTTAATCTATTTACTTTTATGAGTTAAAATTCATCGATTATTCAATAAATTTTATCTAATTATAAATCTTAGCTTATTCCAATTGTATTTTCTTATACTAAAATATATATTGTTTTATATATGTTAATATATTATGGTTGAAGTCAAAAAAGTATTAGGACAACCCCTCTTTAACTATAAAGTTTCTATAGAATAGATTCTCATAAAAGATAGGTCGTGATAGGCCGTGTCGTCGGTGTAGATAGATCTTCATTTTGTTTGGGTAAGCATTACTTCAATGCCTAGACGAAAGTCGTGCTCAATCACTTCCCGTCCTTTTCAACTTTGAATCATTATAATATACCGACAAGCTTTCATTTGGCTTTAGGGAAGGTTCCTCTAGAATCTGGACCTCAATTTTAGAATTTGGACCTCAAGATGAAAGTGAGCGAAAGTGTATAATTTTATTAGAATTTAGTGTACATAAGAAACAGATATTCCTTGTCAGACAATTTGCAAGAAATCTATAGCTAAATATAATACTATGAGCAATTATTTGCAGCTCAACATGTTCAACCAATATACAACCCAACCGACCCTGTAACATACCACCTTCTGTCTTTGGCAAATTCCAACTATATTTTCCTTTTAACTAAACTAATCGATCCGTTCTAGATTAAACGTCACCATATCCTCGAGCGCGAACCGAAACACGCCTTCTGGAAGGCATTGTAGGTTTTGGATAGCAAGATCTGCCTTCTGTTTAGCCAATTCCTGTGCTCTTTCAATGCCACCCCTGCTCTTGACTAATTCAATCGCTTCTTCTAGCGACCCAGTCTCACTGAATTCGGTTTCGATAATTTCTTTCAGTTTAGGCTCTCTCTCAAGAGCAAAAATAACTGGAGCTGTAAGATTTCCTTTAACCAGATCACTTCCTGCTGGCTTTCCGAGCTGCTTTGTCGATTGTGTAAAATCCAAAATGTCGTCGACAATTTGGAACGAAAGACCGAGATTCCTTCCATACTCGTACATCTTCTCAGTAGTATCACGGTCAACCCCGCTAAAGATCGCGGCACCTTTCGTGCTAGCAGCAATCAAGGAGGCTGTTTTATAATAGCTTTTGGTCAGATACTCTTCAAGTTCAACTTCACAATCAAACAGGCTTGATGCCTGCTTTATTTCACCACTTGCAAAATCTTTAATAACCTGCAATAGAACTAATTGAATCTTATATAAGCTAGCTAGAGGTTGCATATCAAGATGACTGTGGATTGCATTGCATGGGAACCAAATTTACCTGACTGATAAGCTTAATGACTTCGAGATTTTCGAGGTTAGCAAGACACCATGATGACTGTGCAAACATGAAATCTCCAGCTAGCACTGCCACTCTGGTACCATATAATTGGTGCAAGGTTTCCTTCCCTGAAACAAACAGCTTTAACCATCAGGTGAATAAATCTGTTGCTGAGCTAATGAAAGTTGTAGGAGGAAAGGGGGAAGCGGTAAATAAAGTGACACATTGCAAGTTTGTCTAAGCCAACTTGCGCACAACCTAACTATTCTTAAGAGACAACCGTCTGACTCTACTACATTTAGTTGTCAAGATAACTCGTCGGATATGAAATCCTAAATAGGTGGCCAAGCTTGATCGTTTCCTAGCCTTTTATTATATTTAAATGGCCCTTCTCGTTCAATAGGGCAACTGATGGTGGTTATCAAAACAAAATATAAAAATTATATTCTGAAAAGGTATTGAAGCCAGGCGATTATGTATGTACTTGGTAATAAAGTTGAACTAATGCCAACAATCTCAAGTGGTTAAGACATCCCTTCGACCATGCAGTCAAAAGTTCATGTGAGATCCCCTATCGGTTGGAGAGGAGAATGAGGCATTATTTATAAGAGTGTGGAAACTTCTTCTTAGCAGACGCATTTTAAAAACCTTGAGGGGAAGCCCAAAAGAGAAAGCCCAAAGAGGACAATATCTGCTAGCAGTGGACTTGGCGTTACAAATGGTATCAGTGCCAGACACCGGGCGATGTCCCAACGAGGAGGCTGAGTCCCAAAAGGGGTGGACACAAGGCAGTGTGCCAGCAAGGACGCTGGGCCACAAAGGGGGTTGATTCGGGGGTCCACATCAATTGAAGAAGGGAATGAGTGCCAACGAGAATGCTCGGCCCTGAAGGAGGGTGGATTGTAAGATCCCACATCGGTTGGGAAGGAGAACGAAACATTCTTTATAAAGGTGTAGAAACCTCACCCTAGCATATGCATTTTAAAAACCTTAACGGAAAGTCCAAAGAGGACAATATCTGCTAGCAGTGGGCTTGAGCATTACCGTTCAAATCCTTCGTAACCTACCAAGAGCTTCATTAAAGAGTTTGATACGTGGACATAGTTTTATCACTACAGCTCCAATGATGAATCACAACCTCAACAGGGATGAAGAAGAAGAATACAAATGGAGTGAATTCAGACCAAAGAGGAAATGTTATGACCTTGTAAAGCCCTTTCAAAATCACGCTCAAACATGTCATAAACAAATATACGTATTCATTTATATATGCAGAAAGCGCCAATGAGAAATCCCGAACTTTATATAAGTAAAATGGGCATACCTCTTCTCATATCGCTATCGTCTAATACATCGTCGTGTATCAAGCTTGCAGTGTGGATCATTTCAATGATCTCTGCCAAACGTCGATGCTCCACAGTGAGTTCCCTGGAGGCAATGCAAGCAAAACAATAATTGAATTTTCTTCAATGCCATACTAAGCTCAGATTTTCAGGAATGTGCATGTCTGGTAGGAATCACTCACTCTAACCCAACTAATCCGGCCGTTGCTCTTGACACCAGGAATACTAGAGCTGGTCTCATCCTCTTCCCTCCAGCACCAAATATCCGCTGAGCAGCAGATACCAAAGCTGGGTTCTCCTCACCAACCATCTGCAGGCATTTCAGTTAAGACTACAAATTTTATCAAGGAAACAAATAAGACTACAAATTTGAACAGATAACAATAACTCGAATATACGCAATTTGATAAGTATGCGATGTTGAACTCGAAGAAATATATAGTCGTCCTCAATGTGCTACATCTAAGCTAATATTAGATTCAGACTTCACAAAAAGGAATGGCACAGGTTCCCATCTATTGTCAATCTGTTAATGACAAAATATTGAAAATAAATCACCCACGGGATAGGAACTTTCTGAACATAAAGTCACATAGAAGGGCAAAACTACTCGATTTCAGTGGTGAATATTGGTTGATGATCCCACAGCTTGGGCTTTAAACCTTCAAACTTGATTTCAGGAAGAGCTTTTGTAAGAAGATCAACAATTAGATGCCCAGTAATGCATGTGGTGTGCTTGAGACCACATAGGGATTTCACAAGCTTGCAGACTTTGTTCAAAATCTTTTAATGTCGGTTGGAGAGCGGAACAAAACATTTTTTATAAGTGTGTGGAAACTTCTCCCTAGTACATGTGTTTTAAACCGTGAGGCTGACGGCGATACGTAATGAGCTAAAATGGACAATATCTACTACAATGGGCTTGGGTTGTTACAGGGACATCATATTCAGCTCTTCTTCTAGATATCCATTGAGAAATATGTTTAGGAAATCAATTGAAGAGCTGATGAAATATGGTTGGAGGTATTCTAAGTGATGTTAAAATCTGTAGTTGTCAAATCCAGATGGTAAGGTATATTCCAAGGCAATGAAATGAATGATGGAATACGAAGTTCACTGCCACTTACAGACAGAAGATTTTGGTTAAGCTTCTGGAGATCATCGGCTACAACTTCAAACAAATTTGTCGACGAGATTGGGGTTCTGGGCTCCTTCCTCAGTTCCAAGAATGGTTGAGAATTGCCTGTTTCAGCAAAAACAGAAACAAACAAAGGCTATTACCACAAGCTTTTGCAGCCAACCAAGGAGAAAATGGAGGTGCCTAAACCCAAAAGTTCACTTACCATTCAATACAGTTTCCGGTTGGGTAGTTGAAAACACTCTGCACTGCCCAATATTTCGTCGGGAACAAATCAAAGTTCGAGTTTGGTGTCGCGTCTTTCTACCCTTAGAACACGGTTTAACATAACTCCTCACCGCACATCGATCCAATGGAGTATTGGAAGAACAGCCACAAGCAACATGATCCAAAACATACCTTCCAAAATCAAGGCTCTGGCATATGACAGACATCATTCCTAGTCAGACCGCGAAATCCAAACTCACAATCAAATATGAAGCAAAAATCAACAAACCCAGCTCAAAAAATCTTCTCAACTTCTCATAGACAAATCGTCAAACACCTAAAGTGCACAACACAACATATGGGTATGGAAGAAGAACTTGGGAGGAGTTAACCCAATGAGGTTCACACAAGTCATTAACATGGAAATTAACCGATTTAGCAGAGAGAGAAAGATTACAAGTGGGAGCTAAATTGAGTGGATAGAAGAAGCCCACATAGTAGCTCAATTATTTTCTTATCAGCAGTTCAAGAAATGAGGTAGATAGCGCTCGTCCGAGAAGTTTTTTTTTTTCTTTTTTTTTTTTTGGTTTGCTTTGAGAAGGGCCCGTACGATGCCTAAGCGCCTTGTACGTAGGCTACAAATCTACAGCCTCCCTCGCAGTTTAGTGGTGGAGCTGAGCCCAGCTACCGCCGCCTCTGATTATCATTTTTGTATATCCAAATTCCCCAATTTCAGTGATTTTTTTGAATTCCTCGGCTTTTTTTTTTTATATGACATACTCCATACTCCAATCTACACGTACATATCGATAAACCCGCAGACATCATTCCCAGCTAAATTTCCTCTACTTTCTTGATGTTTGGTGTTAATTTTGATGGGTTAAATTAAAATTAGGAAAGTTATATTTTAAATCCCAACTCATAATCACTCAATTCCTTTGCTTTTATTATTTTTTTTTTCATTCACTACCTTCAATTTCATTTTATATTGAGAAAATAATTATGACAATATTTTGATAAAACTTCTATTTTAACAAATTATTTTTTTTATAATTTCATAAATTACGGCTTAAATAATTCATTTAAAATTTCATTAAAAATGTGTGAAAGGAAACTCTAATACTTAGTTATTTAGTTATTTGCTAATTTATGCAATAAAATTTTTAATAATAGAAACTATTTGTTATCTCTTTTAATTATTATCACTCATTTTGTAACTATTTGATTTTTAAAAAAAAAAAATTATATCCATTCTTTAGTAATCTTTTTACATAGATTTATTTAAACAAATTTCGAAAACAAAATAAATTTTTTAATATTATTATTATTACTTGTTTTTAAATCATATTTATAGAGAAACAACAAAATAAGAACTCACCCTTACCACTGGATCAACCGGCTCAAACTCGGTCTAGGCTCAAATCTTATTAGCCCAACTCGGCCTAGGCCCAAACCTTACTAGCCCAACTCGGCCTAGGCTCAAAGCTGACTCGGCCTAGGCTTAAAGCTTCTCGTAAAAGCACTATTTGATCATGGGTTGGCCTGCCCAACCTTCTAATAATCACTCTGACACAAAGTTCGGCCCATTGAATACTAATTAAAAATGTTCTCTTAAACTATATATATATTTTTAGATACTAATGATCATATAAATTATATAAATATATTTTCTAAAAATTTTATTAAAAAGTTTACCTTTTAGATATCTAAAATATAGTATATAAAAAATTATAAAGAGTAGTTAAGTTGTCTCAATGAAAAATTCATTTGTGGGTTAATTCATGGGTTGACTGAACCGACTTTAAATTTAATTTTAAGGCATTTCACCGTTTTATTGATTTAACCTATAGTTGGTCCATATTGCAATGTATATACACTAATTGATTGTTTATAATTACATGGCATGATAAGAATCAGCAAATGTAGTTAACAAAAAGACTCTTCAAAGATCAGGTAACCCTACACCAGTGCTCATGCCTATCTCAGTTACTCCAGTTAAGAGCAGCCAGCCATGGAAAATGTGCCACTCCAACTTAAGTACCACCTACAGCTTCTTACGTTCAATTAAAGGTGGATCATTCTAGGGATCTACCACTGTTTGTGCATCGGTTAGTTTGAGTGAACGACCGTGCGAAGCTCTCGAATTTGGGACGGTTTAAGATTTGGGATTGAACTACAAAGAATACGTCGTCTTGCTCACAAATCCAAACTTGTAATTTGTGACGTTAGTCTCGAATAAACATTTGTTATGTTTCTGTTCTCGTATGGGAGAACGGGCCCGGAAACTCGTCCTAGATTTGCAAAAGCAACTATATCAGTTATATCAGTATCATGGTATTGTTGAGCTTGAAAGATCTAACATGGTAAATTTGGTTTGAAGAAAGATGACAGATTCTATCCTATCAGAACTTGTCCACTAAAAAGAGAAATATGTTCATACCAGTAGGCACTTTGTGAGGAGGATGAGCCTTTGATGGATTCCCAAATTTTCTATCAGATAATCCCATGCTGTTATTAGGGACTTTCGGATTTCGCCGAACCGGTTCACGATCAGGTGAATCCAAATTTGTGCAAACCGTGGACCTAAGAAAACGATTCACAGCTTGTAAGAACACAACCTGATATTCAAACCTTATAATACACCCACCAAACTATATGTTATAGTAATAATATTGACTCCTAGGCCATGGCATTATCAAACAATCACGAAAACAACTTAACCGGTGCGCTCTTACCGTGGGAGGGAGAAGTGTTTCCGATTTAGAGGCAAAACCGGTGCGCTTTTAGCACCATTCTCCTTGAGGTAGGTGAATTGGCTTCTAAAATGACCTGTAACGCTGACAATGATAGGAGTACTACAAAATCAGCAAAGGAATAGCTTAATAATCACTTGAAAGTTGTAAGGTTGAAAAGGAAAATGAATTGAACCTAGGATAGAGGAGCTTTGTAGTCTCAGCTCTATTCAAATAATCTTCACGAATTTGAGGATGATATTCTAATATTTCTCTGTATAATAGTTCCCTTATGTCATCCTTTGTTAATTTCCGTCTCTCAAACTCAAATTCCACTCTTGCTATTGGCTGACAAGAGGGCTCTCTATCAACTTTAGCTAGGCCCTTAAAGTAAGGGTCAGCCAGAGCCTGTCAACATATAAATCACAAAACTTAATGATCCCCAGATACACATCGTGGTGAAATAACGATCAATAGAGAACTCGTACCTCCACAGCGGATGGTCGATCCTTCGGATCAAATGCTAATAGTCTTTGTAATAAGCGGATGGCTGCAGGATCCGCATTGGGAAATCTTTGTGAAAATGGAACTGGAGATTTCTTTCTCATTTCGGTCAAATATTTCCTGGCCTTTTCGTTCCTAACCTAAACGGTACCGATAAAAATACGACTATTACACTCAAAGCGAAAAGAAAAAAAAGGACAGATCAATAGCAAGCAATGCATACTCCTGCAATGATTTCCAAAGAGGGAGTCCCAAGAAGATCAGTAATCAACTCCAATTGATGGGCAACACTTTTACCAGGAAACAGTGGCTTCCCTATCAAAACCTCAGCAAATATGCAGCCAATGCTCCAAATATCTATCGCTGGAGTATACTATAAACAGGATAATGATATCAAACATTAGAAAACAAAAAGGGGAACTAAGTTTAAGCAAAAACTTAAGAAAAAAACAGATATAACCTGACCTGAATGACAGATATTTCAACTTCCAGGACAGTTCAATAGTCCCCCCTGAACAAGAATTATTATAATCTACGCATTATTGTTTCCTATAAACCACTATTATACATTACATGCATTTTATACCAAAAAGGAAAGCATTTCCAACTGAAACATGGCCAGTAAATCACTACAAGATGTTGTTCTGATCTTTCCTTGTATGGTGGAGGGAGGAGCAGGGGGGACATTGTTGCTTCAACATTGAGACAATCAATAACATATGTAACATAAGTCATCATAACAGTGCACTATCAGATTCGGTACAAAATGAAAATGTGCATAATCATCAAAACTAAACGTCCAGTGATTAGTTTACTCCCAGTGGTTGCGAAAATTGATTAGTTTACTCCCAATGGTTGCGAAAATTCGTAGAAGAAATCAATGTGAACTAGTTTACTGCCTACCTTCGAACAGAACGATCCACACAGCTCTGGAGCTCTATACCATCTAGTAGCAACATAGTCCTGCAAACAACATCACTTAGAACACTGAAAAACAAATCAATAATCTGCTAGTGAAATGAAGAACATACTGTCCAAAATATTGTAGTTGGGACATCACTGAAAGCAGCTCTAGCAAGTCCAAAATCACAAACTTTAAGCTTGCAATTAGCATTTGCCAGTATATTCTTCGGCTTCAGATCTCTATGATAGACATTTGCTGCAAACAGCATTCTCAAATTTAAAAACCTTCGTTCCATACTCAAAATCTAAGAATGAAAAAGAAAATTATCTACCTGTATGCATGAATTTCAATGCACGTAGCATTTGATAGAGGAAGAACTGATGATGTTCACGGGTCAAATCATCATTTGCTTTAATAACTTGATGAAGATCAGATTCCATAAGCTCAAACACCACATAAATGTCCTTAAATTCCTTTTTAGAAGGTGGCAACATGATGTGCTTGATATCAACAATATCAGGATGCCGCAACAATCTAAGCAACTTAACTTCACGAAGGATTCGAACAGCATCAGATACATGATCAAATATATCATGAATTCTCTTTATTGCAACTTTCTCTTTGGTTTGCATGTCAATAGCAGAACAAACAACTCCGTAACTTCCCCTGCCTATAACTTCAAGAATCTTATATCTATTAGCATCCCCATATTCAGTAAAAAAGTTGATCTTCTTGGCCTCCTAAAGATCAAATGAATTATGTTAACATCATCAGAAATAGAACACAAGAGGGACTATTATAATGCAAACATTTAACTATTAACCAAAACCAATTAGAGAAACAGTAAGGAATGTACAAAATGCATTCCAGTACAAGAAATTTTACATGGTGATCATGAATGTCAGCTATGAAAAACATGGTAGTTATGTACAAAATGAGATCAAACAAAGACTAATGCCCAGAAAGTCCTACATCCAAGAGAAAATTACAATAAGAATCCCATCTCAGACATCACAAACCAAATTTTCTTCATCAAAGATCCTTCTAATCCTCTCTACCCATGGTTAACATCTACAAAAGCGCAAATCCAAAAACACTTCCCTTGTCCTCTTAATCCCTGACCCCTACAAGAAGATATCCCTCTTTTTTGTAATAACAACAGCGTTTTCGAGAATATAAAGCCCTGCGGAGGACAACAGTCCTACAGCAAGAAACGGACTAGGGAGGATCAATAATTCCATCCAAACGCAGCATATAAAGTTACAGAGAAGAAGATTGAACTGATCGTGACGCATCAAACACAAGC